TGATGTAATCTCAAAAGGTAATTTTATGTCAGGAGATCTGCAAGATTACAAATATGAATCTTGAAATGGATATTTGTACTTTTCTTACAGATTTGTAACAGAATTCAACAGAAAATGTTTTTTGTTTCTATAATATCGTAGTAATACATCGATGTAATATATCGTGTACAGTATTGTCAATGACATATTCTGAACCTTATTAAAAACGCGTGCATTAAGACGCATTTTTCCGAGCAGCACGCATCTCGATACTATCAGACGTAGGTAAGAGAGGCGAAAGATGTTCCGTCTGTCAAGAATAAACTCAGCTATTTCGAGGGCTGGACATACGCCCGCATATATCCCCCGCGTGTTATATAATTACGTCATTTTCTCCAATCCATACCGTCGCGGCGATCGAGCATGGAATTCCGATGAAAGCTCGCAACGCGCGCAACGCATTGGAATTACAAATAAAAGGACATTTACTTAGGAATTTCGTAACAGCCATGTGGTCTGCATCAAAGGCTTTTAAATGATACTGTAAATAGATAATAAATACTTTGCAGAAAATATTTTTCCCACTACGCGTTTACTGTATATTAAAATAGACGTGGTTTTTAATTTACATCTGTTCCTATATTTTTATTTTATTATTTTCACTTGTTAATATAGTTCGTGATTTCTGGAGGCAAACATATCTTTCAATATTCTTGAGAAAGTAAAATATTAGTTTGCCATCACACAGTCTATTTACATTAGTAATATGAATTTGCTACAAATCGCGCGGTTGAGCTTGCATTTCGTTGTGCACGCTAATCCAATTTAGTTTCGGAAATCGAATCCCGTATTGCAGTCTCGCCAATTCAAGCTTGGCAATTAACACGTAAATAAAAGCGACAGCGCTCCGATTCAATTAGTGAGAAATAAATTTCCGCCGTAGCGATAGAATATAAACTTGCCTCAAAGTATTCGCGTACTTCGTCGTTTGCCTGAAGAAATTCCTGAGCAGCGGGCTCGTCCCTGCAATACGCCACGTGCTTGTCAAAGTCTCTCTCCTGGAATAGAATGGCGTTTTATTGCAGTCAACAATCCAATTCGAGCATCGGCTAATGCTAAGCCTCGGTTTTTCATTTTCTGGTTAAATGTTAATCAGAGGTTAGTCAACTACCGGCCCCTTCTTAGATAATAAAATAAATAGACAGATAGATAGATAGATAGATAGATAGAGAGAGAGAGAGAGAGAGAGTCGATTAACCTCTGGTTAACAGTTAATTAGAAAATAAAAAACGGGACCTACGTGTACTCCTCCATAGCGTTCGCTCATAAAAACTTTCATTTTTATATCTTCACGAATACGAAAATCTCACACATCAAAGACTACTTCATTTTGCGCAGAGAGAATTACAAATACGATTGGAAAGTAATTATGAATGAGAAAGTAATTGTATTAATGCAAACGCTAACGTAATCATTTTAACGACGAAGATTACTATCGATGTGCGCGCTTACCAGTCTCAAGAAAGTTCTGCCAAGCATACGTGGTTGATCCGCATAGTATTTGACGCCCTCGATCAACACCCTGCCGAACGATCTAAGTAAGGCCGGAATTAATTATCATGCCAAAGTCACACCACGCCTAACATGCTACGGAATGGAAGTCTGTGTCATCCTCAGAATGCGACACACTTAGGAGCGACACGTGGTGCAAGGTAGTCCCAACAAATGTGGCATGTACTGATCGTCAGCATCATTCACTGACACGTGGAGGGTGGAAGAAAACGAATCTTACGGGTCGCACGGAAGAAATTAGGGTCTAATTTAACCTCGGATTAAAACGGCAAGATCAACACCGATAAGCGCTGAATTAACATCGGTCGAGTTAGTGACGTAGTCAGTACAAAATTAATTTCTACTGATATTGTACATGAATAGGTAACACGATAATTTTCTCTTGTAACAAGATTAGGAAGATCTATATTTACTTCAAGCGTATGTGGTTTTGTAGTAACATTCGATTTGTTACATGTAAAATCGTGTCTGACGTTAAGTAGGACATTGTAGATAAGTTCTTAAGAAGCGATAATGTAGATGTAGATTAATTTCTGGGGCACGTTCACACGTACGAAGAAGCACACTACCACACAAAATACGCTTCGACGACGAACTTACGCTTTGTACATCGTATTCCGCTACAAGTGAAAGAATAATGTGTGGAGAATTGTCTGCGTATATAACGTGATCGTGTATAATGCAGGATTGTGTGACAATTTTTGGTGATCAAGTCAATAGCAATGCGACTAAAAAGATTAAATTCAAAGAGTACTCGGGTGTGCATGTGTTTCTTCGGTGTGTTCGCAATGGTGAATAATAAAATAAAATACTTATTCACGTTGTCCTCAACATAGTAAAATATTTAGATGAATAATAATAAATAATAATCTCTGTAAATATACTGCGAGTGTGAATTTATAGAAAGATCGAATTTATTATGATACTTGATAAACTTCGCGGATTATTTTCGAGTGGAAAGGCGTCTGTTAATCTTTATTTTTACGAAATTGTATAGAAATCAATTAAAAAAAGAACAGAAGTGTGCCAGGTATCGTATAATGTCTGCATGAATGTCTGACAGTGTTGTAACGCACTTCTGCGTTGTCTTCATCAGTGTATGCTGCTGTAAATACATACGTGTTATGAAAATCAGCTATTTGCTGGAGATTAGTGAAGATAACTTCTTTGTTGTCCCGTACGACTCGCGGAACGCCAGGATTGTCGAGAGGCTTTAGATAACGTTGCACGACGAGCTGAATATCCCTGCCGAATTCTTCCTCCGTTTCGATTAGCTCTTTCACCACCGCCCTGCAAGCAAGGAGAATGTTGAGACATTTTTGTCTTACTGTTCATATTGCACTAATTACAGGATAAAATATATTCTCAAAGATTGGAGGTAAAATTAAGTTTGATACAAAATTAAGTATAAATGAAGAAAATATTGAGTTTAAAAACAATTAAAAATTATACTCTCTAAAGTTCTTGGAGTAAAATAATTACCCTATTGGAGTCAATATTTCACTTCGTAACAGTATTTTCACTCGAAACATTTGAGACAGTAAGAACGCCCTTACGAAAAAGTAACGAAATAATTACTAGAAAATTACTGTATATCAGTAATTGAACTATTAGAAATTACTGATGTACAGTAATTTTCTAATAATTATTTCGGTGCTTTTCTGTAAGGGCGCGTTTAAAAAATCGAGAGCCAAAGACTTACTCTCGTCGATAATGAGAATCTTCTGGCCGACTCATCGATGAAGTCTCCTCGCTAAGCGCCGTTTGCATTAAAATGGACGAAGGTAACCATCCCTGCCTTCCGTCGGATGTACGAACGTATACCCTGTGAAGCAACAAATTCGATTAAACACTTGCAAACAGAAGTAAAAGGTGAAGAAATTTTCGCCAAATATTTGCATATTTGTCTAAGATGTTGCGGACAGTCTAAACATTTTTATAGCTTTACGTTTTTGATAATAAAGTCATATTAATCGTTTCTGATCCGATTGTACATTTTCATCATTTAGAAACTTATTAAATGATCATGTTTCGGAAATATTTTGTGTACCAGAACGAACTGAATAAAACAGGCTTTGAGTCGAATACACGAGGAGGAAGACTTTTTGGTATAAATTTTGTTCTCGGTACTTTCGTCGATAATTTTAAAATTCATCTAATAACCGGACTAGATCGGATGTTATCGAAAGAGGTGATATAGATAGACATTCGAAAGCGTAGGAGTCGCGCAGTTATATTTGCGGAATGACTAAGGCATCGTGCCATCTTGTCATCGAAGTCATCGTCCATTCACAGAACGCAAAATCTGCTGGCGAATGTGCCCGAGAATTGCTACACGGGACTTTTATCACGTAACGCTTTCATTCTCGTGCGGGCTACAGAGAAGTGTGACATCATCTCAATCTTACAAATCCGGCTATCGGCTTTAACCTTGAGTAATAAAACAGGTTGCATATCGAATTAGTTTAACAATACAGTTTTTCTGAAGTCGCATGTGTGTCGAGCTCGTGCAAAACATCCTCGATATTTCATTAATGTCGGTGCCTTTTCGACATTCGAGAATTCCCTTTGACGATAAGACGTGCACTATCGGTTTTACTGACACTGGCCTTCCGCCAATCACGCGGAGATACGATCGCGCGAGATATTATTGCCCAAGACGTTTATAAATGCTTAATCTTCATTAGCGTCGTCATAATTCAGCGGTGTTGAATTTATTTCAGGACCGTGCAAGTCCAAATTTGCTCTCAATGCGGCTGCACGACAACGGGCCGCTTCTGTCTTGCCTGTCGCATTTAAACGATCGCAAAACGCGCACGTGCTGCAAGAATTTGACTGACTATTCCGTTAAACGCGTTAACGATGCAAAAGAAAAGATTCACTCGCCATAAATATTCGATTTAATAGTATTTTAAATGAAACTATACAGTAATTTATTATTTTATATTGCGGGGGCCGAAACTGCGACAGTTTTTACTTTTGTTTAGCAAAAACTCTCATCTTTCCTCGTGGATTTTCTCGCAAAATGACGTTTGCGACAATTGGTACATATTTTTATGTATTTAATTCATTGGATTTTGGACTTTCACGACTGTCGACATCGTCAACCGTTTCCAGAGATGGAACATTAATTGATAATTGAATTCTGAAACTGAACTTCTTACGATTCTTCATCAAATTGTTCGTCATCATCAACTTATTGAAACTAATCTGTGCTCACTTTTTGGAAATTAATACACACTTGCCGAATTATCATCGTTTGAATTGTCGAACGTCATGCAAGACTGTTATAACGACAATCGTTTATCTTAGCACAGGAAGTTGACGGTGACCCGTCCTGCTCTTGATGAGTCAAAATTTTAAGTCGCAGCCTTCATTATTCTATTTTGAGTCGGTCAGACTTTGTTACGAAAGCGGGGTGAAATATCGCGCCTCGAAGAGCTAATTTACGCTTTCGGCGATAAAATTGGCGGATGCGGGACGTTGTAATTCTAGTCGTCTCGTTATCGGACGATTCCCAAGGTAGAGAAGCGTAAATGAATGTTCTCGGCCTCGGTGCCTCGCCTTACCTTTGAAGGCTCGCGTCGACGCTCGGGCTGCTCCGAGCGCGTGGATCTGCGTGATTTCGACGCGGTCGAATCGAAAGCTTGTGCTTGGCGGCCGAATTGTCCAAGATATCGCCGACTTCGACCTCCAGGTCGGGGTCCAGCCTCGCTTTCCTACAACAACGCGAAGCGTTGGTCCGCTGTATGGTCTCGGCCGCTTGATGATGAAGCGTATGAAGAGTTTGAGAAGAGACCCGTCTCTCTTGGTGTTACACAACTTGTTATATGTCTTTATAGAGCTAGCTATCTACTTGTCATCGGGATCGACCGGGTGAGTCTTCAGCGTGTAAAGCGATTAAAGCGGATGTTTCGCAAGCATTGTGGTAGGACGAGGGTGCCACTCGCGGGTTCTATTCCGCAACATGCCGTTCCACCTTGTTAATTGTGCGGATGTAGCCGAAAGCCATGTGCTGCGCTAATTTTACAGCCGTACAACAGCGGGGCGTAGCTTTCCCGGCGCGCGGTTCCCTTCCGCCGTTATATTACTTCATTCCAGAGGTCTCATGCGATTTAGGGGCAGTTCCGCGAGACTTTTATCCCCGGGCCATTCGGGGGATTACTCAAGCGTTGTACAAGCGAGCGCGCGGACGCCAATTTTCTCGCAGAGCCGCGGGATCTTTATGCGACTGTAAATTTCGCGCGAATTTTCCGTCTGTCAAAGTATTCGCGGATTTCGCGTAATATGTCAGACGGGACGTGCCGAACGCCAATAAAACCACCGTGCAGCGTAAAAATAGAACCGCAGGCGGGTGTGCGAGCAGAAGCTCGAGCATATCTTCCACCTCGCGCGGGGCAATGATCCTCGTCACTGCGGTTCGACATCCGGATTAGCTTTGACCAACGGGTTCCCTATGGTATCGCGAAAGAGCCGCGGCAGCCAACAGCGTGGACGCGAAAGTATGTATAATTGCGGCCGCGGTTACGCGTGCAAACAGCAGCCGCTTTTACGATCTGATCCGCGCTCTCGTTCTCGCGGGATCAGCGACAGCGTTAATAGGCGAGATGCACCTGTCAGCCATAAATGCTCTTCTCGTCCGATACGATCTCCCCTTGGCTATCGCTTCCGCGTGCACGCCGGGAGATCTCGGGTGTCGGGTGATAAACAGCTCGCGGGCAATCGTTATCGCGGGCACGTAGATACGCGCCGCGTGAGAGACGCGCGTGTGAACGATGAGTCGTCGCGGTCTATCTTTAGACCGCGCGACGGATTTTACCCGCCGCGAAACGGGTTGCCACCCACGTGTACTCGCGCGATACGAAAAGCAGCGCGATGACAATGCTCATCGAGAAGCTGTCTTCTTATTTTTTCTCTCTTTTTTTTTTACAATTTCGCATCCTTGAACTAAAAATTGCTTACTTTGCCGAGCCGTCGTGTTCGACGGCCTCGACGATGTCGCCGACGCTCACGGCGAATCCATCGGTGTCCGCAACGTAGTCCTTCACGACGACGTAATTTTCCGAGGATCCCTGTAACAAAAATACGACGGCACAAATAGAAGCGAAAGACTGTAGCCGACTTTCTTTCAAGTGCACCTTGAAATAAAGATAGAGATGACGCGCTTATTTCATAAATTGTAAAAACGCAGTTGAGCTGTGTTAAGATTATTGTTTCAGCATGAGACTAGAATCCCGACTATTACATCACGAAGCTCGATCTAAATGCCGAATCAGACTAGCAATTGCCAGCTCGGATTGACGATTGTCCTCTAGCCAATGAGAGTCGATTAAATCCTAGGCTGCTTTGCTGTCATTGGCTAGAAGACAATCGCCAATTCCAACCCAATCTGCGTCGACAATCGCTAGTTTGATTCGGCCTTAACGCGATTTACTTCCTTGACTAAGTATAATTTATCGAGTTTGTACAAAGTAAAATACTATCAGCTTCGCTGAAAGGTCTATAAATATTAACAAATGCTCCTCCCCAATCTTCGTCTTCCCGATACTTTACCCGCTCCAAGTTGCCCCGTTGCCGGGCGCCGTTCAACCTCTTCAGACTCGGCGTGTTCTCCCTGCTGACTGAATAAAAAGCGGCCGATTGTTCGGATCTTGATAGAGTCGCTGTGCCGTTGCTTTCCTGCTTGTTGGAACTGCCATTAGCAGAGCCATCCAGGCTGCTTGCAATCGAAGTTGTACCGGTGAAGGTGGTGGACATCATCTCGCCGTCAACGTCCACCTCCTTCGCTACCGGGCAACAGTACATGGAGAACCGATGAGCGGCAGGACGATTCAGCCTGAGCGCCGAGAACACGTGCAACGGCTCGAAGTGATGTATACCGTCCTCGTCGAGGACGGTGTAGGCGACCTCGCCGGTCAGCACCGATCTGGAGGCCTCTCTGGGCACGACCGCCTGCATACCCTGCTTCAAGATCATGAAGATGGACGATCGCTTGTGGCTCCTTCGCAGCAGGAATTCTTCCATCGCCAAGCTGTTGTCGGCGCACAGCAACGAGGTCGGCACGTCTGCTGAGGACAGCAACGGAATTTCTTCGGGTACTATCATTAGCGCGGCGCTCTCTCTCACGAGGGTTCGTAGTCGCGGATCCGCCCTAGCCAGTTCGGGATCGCTGCACAGCTGTCCGAGAGCGTTCATGAAGGGCGGTCGCTCTTCCGCGAGCTTCCGCATGATCGCCAGCCGCCTCAGTACGTCCATGGTCACCCGATCGTTCGCCAGCGCCCGGGTAGACCTCTTGTCGCTGATCACCGACAGCAGGCTGTTCGCCGTGCCGGACATGCCCAAGGCTCGTGCCAGACCCACCGCCTGAAGCAACATCTCGCGAACGTCCGGACCCTCGGCGCTCAGCAGCTCCTTCACGCGAATCTCGCTCGATTCTCGGACCGCCTCGACAATCGCCTTGTAGACCGTCTCCGTAGCCTCCTTCTCAGTCGCGACGTCCGCCACGTGCCGCGACACGTTCTCCAATACAAGCGACACCAGCTCAGGGTCGTTCTTCGAGACAGTTCGAAAAGCCAGTCCGATCAAGTCCGTGCCGTGTTCTTCCTTCAGGATTATCGACAGCTTGTCGAGCACGGCGTCCCGCTGCAATTGTTGGTCTGGGCTCACGGTCGACTTGAGTATGTCCACTTTGCTGTTCTTGATATCTAACAATTCCGACAGTACGCTCTGGCAAAGCGAACTACGATTCTGCGGAATTGAGAGAATTTTTAGGATCTCGTCCACCGACTGATCTTGATCGCTCTGACGCGACAGCATGCTGAACGACTCGCTGATGGAGGAGTAGACGAGGTCTTGAGGATTGCTGTTGTCCAATATTACTCGTTGATCGTCCGATATCTTCAGAGCGGCGGCTACGATTGCTGTCCTAATTATACCCCGAAATGACTCGATGTTATTGCCGTTGCTTGCCCCTGTGTCCTCAGTTTCAACAACGGGTGATCGATTGCCGTTCGTCAACGTTACATTTGCATCGTCCAAATTCTGTTGCTGCTGCAGAACAATGTTTCTCGCTAATTGCGCAATCGTCGACATAACTTGCGCCAGTTTTACTGCCGTACCACCTTGCAGGCCCAACTTGGTTGTCGCCACGGCGAGAGCCTGCTCTAAGGCCGCCGCCTTCGGATCCACGTCCACGTCCACTGTCGGCAGATTCGTCGAGACTTTTCGCCCCACGGATAACCCCGCCTCGGACAGCTCGCGTAACATCTTAGCGTCTATGCTGGTCTCGCCGCGATGGCGAAAGCGCGAATTGTAGTGCAGATGCTGCGGCCGTAGCAGTCGCAGCTCCTCGGGGGTAACCTCGAAGCCCTGCACAGAAAACTCGAGCTCGCCCTCAGGCGTGTCAGTGAGATCGGAGGCGATGAAACATGGCCCCTCCTCCGTCTGTACGATTTGACCTGGTACAAAGGTCACGCCCATTTCGCCGGCCTCCACCACGCGACCCGGTACAAATCTAGGCCCATCCGGCGTGTCCACCACTTGTCCCGGCACGAATCTGGATCCCTCCTCTTCGGTGAAGATCACCTGGCCGGGGATGAACGTCGGCCCCACCTTGGTATCGACGATCTGACCCGGCACGAAACGTGGCCCGTCCGGGGTGTCTACTGTTTGACCGGGCACGAACTTGGGCCCGGTCCGGGTCTCCACTATCTGGCCGGGCACGAACTTCGGCCCGCTGCTGGTATCAATCACTTGGCCCGGCACGAATTCCTCCCCTTTCTCCGTTGTGACTATCTGACCCGGCAGGAAGCCGTCCTCGGTCATGACGCCTGGTACAAAACGCGGCCCGTCCTTGTCGCCGGTGACCAACTGCCCGGGCACGATTCTTCTACCCTCCGGCAGGCTTTTCGCGTTCTCCGGGAAGAACTCGATACCCCTCTCCGTCTGTACCATGTGACCGAAGATCTCACGTTGCTGAAGAGTCGATACTGCACTCGCGGTCTTCGGATCCACGGGTATACCGACGGGACCGGCGTCTTGGAATACCACCTCGTTGAACTTGCTCGCTGCGACGAACTCGAAGCCCTTTTCGGTGATGACGGTGCGTCCCGGGCAGAACACTATACCTTCCGGCGTCTTCAGCACCTGGCCCTCCACGAACTTCTGACCCTTCGGAGTGTCCAGCGTCATTCCTGGCACGAATGTCGAGATATCTTCCGATTCCCTGGCAACGCCAGGAACGAAATGCATCTCGCCGGAGCGCGTGGTGACGTATTGGCCCGGAACGAATTGCGGGCCTTCGGCTGTCAGCAACGTCTGTCCAGGAACGAACTTGGATTCGCCGTTCGGTGATTCGACGCTCTGGCCCGGCACAAATTCGTGCCTGCCGTTGATCAGCACATTCTGACCCGGCATGAAAATCGGCTCGCCGCGATAATCCGTGACTGTCTGGCCCGCCATAAATTGTACTCCGTCCGAAGTGGCCACGGCCTGACCTGCGACGAAAGTGCCGTCCGCTACCACTTGACCAGCCACGAATCTTGGGCCCTCTTCCGTCAGAACGGTCTGGCCCTCAACGAACTTGCTCCCCTCGCTCGTATGAAGCGTCTGGCCTTGCACGAAACGCTCGCCTCGCTCCGTCATTAGAGTCTGCCCGGCGACAAACACCGGCGTTCTCGCCCCATCCGGCTCGTCCACAGTGACGATCTGTCCGGGCACCAAAAGAGGACCGTCAGGCGTATTAAGAGTCAGTCCGGGCACGAAGGTGGGACCTTGAGGCGTTTGCAAGGTTTGACCGGGCACGAAGATAGTGCCGGAAGGTGCGTGCACCGTTTGACCAGCGACAAACCTCTCTGCTGACTTGATATCAAGCTTGAGACCTTTAATATTATGCATCGTCGTCTTCTTGCCGGCGGGCAGGTTTCGTACTAACTCGGGTATTTCCTCCATCTTGGGTAGACATTCCAACGCCTTTTCTCCGGCCTGTAAAAGTTTCTCCGTCACGTTTGCGCTCTCCTCAAGTTCGCCCTGCGGAATACTTTGAATCACGTTCTGCAGCACAACGTCCGGCTTCGCGATTAAAGGTGTCAGCGACTTTGAGATCGCAATTGCTTCGAAACCACCCACGGACTCGGATATAGAACTGGCGTATAAAATTGGTTCTTGGTCCAAGACTTGTGGCTGCGCCATCACGGGCGTCGGTATTTTCTCGATCATCGGCACGCCGGCTGGTTTCTTCGCGCCGTTCTGCAACGAGTTCCAGTCTAACACGTTAGAAATTGGCTTCGCTGCATCCTTGAGGATGCTCGACATGTTCACGATGTCGAAAGACCTGAGTCTCGCCTGCTCCGCATTCACGTACTTCCAGTCTTCCGTCGTTTCCTCCTTGATCTCCTCTTTGATGCTTCTTAGCTTAAGCTGCTTGGTACGTTCGAGCTCTTCCTCGTCGGCCGCCCTCTCCTTCTCCTCGAAGAACTTTTTCGCGTAATTCAGTGCGGTCTGCCTCTTCCTCTTCCGTTTTCTAGTCTCGGCCTCTAGCTTTTCCCGCTCCTTCAGCACCTCCTCTCGCGGTCCCATGCCGTCGTAGAGATTCTCGAAATCCTCTAGATTCTTAAAATCCACGGACACGTTCTTGCCCTGCTTCAGCCTCAGCAAAACGGTGTCGCAATCCCTCGATAACATTACGTCCTTGACGTCGCCATCCCTGACAGCGGCTTCCAGCTTCGCCGGGAACACGAGGCTGCATCTTCGCTCCTCCACCGTGTACACGAACTTCTCCGCTTCCTCGATCGGCGTCTGCTTCGCCTTCAGGAGCTCCCGCAGGGCGCGTTGCTGCTCGCCCTCGCCCTCCAGGATCGGGAAGACGTAGCGATAATCCTTGAGCACCACGTGCCTCTTCTTCTCGTCGACGATCAGACCGGCGGTGTAGTGATGCGGGCCGAGGCCCGCCGCGTTCGTCGTGATCTTGCATTTCGACTTGTCGTGGGCGTGCGCGCCCAGCAGCACCGGAATGTAATGATGGGTCGGTAGGCCGTAGGACTTGCCGGTGATACGGCAGAATCGCTTCGCGTCTGCCGGACTTATGGGCGGTAGAAGCGGAAAGTAGTTCGGCCTGGGGAGACCCCGACTTTTACCCGTGATTCTGCAGAAGGACATTGTCCCCTTCCGAGATAATCATTCGACACCCGGTGAGGTCATTAGTGGTGCCCTGTGGTTTCCTCCGATTGCAGACGTTGTCACGCGGACTTGACAATCAATCGTAGAGATAGACGACGGTTATTCTCGGCTGTGTTGAGCGTGCCATGATTCCGCGAGATCTTTTCAATTCTTTCCACGACGGCTTGGAATTATTAATGATTCTTCGCGATTTTAATAGCGATTAGAGCAACAGCTGACCGTACGTAATCGACGTGTCGAACTTGTAAGGTTTCGGATGGCGTAGATTTATTTAAGCAACGGCTCACGAATCGTGTGAGTCATTGGTCTAGGAGCGAAAGCTCGTCTTTTAGCCTGGGACAAAGTCGACTGATATTGCTTCCTTTTTCCGGAATTAATGTCCAATCGCGCGTTGTTTATGCCCGCACCGTCAACGGAACCGTTTGCCGGCGACGCGGACAAATGGACATCAGCTCGAAACTTGGCATCCGGCACCGATGGGAATCGCGACTTTGCGCCTTCAATCATTCGCGCGCATCGCCGTCTCGCCCCCGCCGCGATATCGTCTGTCGAATTTCGTCTTGACCGCTTGTCGATTCAGCAACGTGTGTCTCGATTCCGCGACTTCCTCCACGCGATTCTATCCTCTTTCTTTTCTTTTTAACAAAATATTTAACTTCGGCCACGATGCGTTGTACTTCTCGTTACGAGTCTTTAAAATCGATCCAGAAAGTTGATTACGGTTTTGTCGCTTGCGAAAAGAAATTTGCATCACTGCTCGCGAGCATCTGCTCAATATTATTTATTCTCTCTCTCTCTCTCGTCTCAGAACGGGCATTTAACCATTTGACATTTTACTTTCGATTGCTTAACACCTAGCACACGCGTCACCAGTGGGCTGACACGAGGGTTCACGATTGGCTTTTCATATTTATAGCATTAAAAGAGACACTTTCCGCACGCCATTTTACGTTACAAACTGCAGCCTTGATTTCTCAGTTAGTCCACTCATTAGTTCCGCGTATGCATATCTATGCGGGCGATTTAACAATGGCGCTTCAAAAGTAGTAGTAAATTTTTGTAAAAAAAATATTAATAATCACTTGCTCACGGTATTTGCACGGAAATTTTCTCAACACTCGATCGACAGCGTTGTCGGAAATAAACCATTATTTGTCTCCCCGTCGTTTTTTCCTGCGAAAATCAATTTTACTCGTTTACCCCCGTGTGCAATTATGTGTATTCGACGTCATTCAGTTCTCGATCCAGCGCAGTCGGACGCACCGCGCTCCCCATTATTATTTTTCCCGTACAATCCTTATTGGCTCCGCGGCCCGTTCGTGCCGATCACCGAGCGGAACGTTCTCACTCTCACTACACCGGTCACATCGTTCGACTTTTCGCGAGATGCGGTCCTCCCGAAAGGTGTATATCGGCGATACGCGGCGAAAGCGAGACTACTCTCTGCCACGAAGTGGCTAAGAGCCGTTTGCACGGCGAGTCTCTCTCTCTCGGCTCCCACGACCAGAAATAGCCTACCCTTCTTACACTTCTCCAATACATCTTTAGAACGGAATACACGGACCCGGGTCTCCGTAAAGTCGTGCATGGTCCACGCTGGCTTTTCGGCGCTCGAAAATCTCTCGCGACCTTTCCCATAGCGTCGTTCCTGTGCGGCATTTCAGGTGGAACAGGCCTCATCGAGATCGCGATTGAAATTAATGATCGGCTTACGTAATTATACACCGTGCCGCTGATTACTCGACGAATACCTTCTTTTTAATACTTTTATAATGCAATCCGAGTCTTCCAGCGTCCTCGTTGTAAACTCAGCGAAGTGAATTTTAATAATTAAATTCTTGACTGCGCTTAATTTTCTGACTGATGGCACACCGAGTGGAGTCTCGTTTTGTACATCGCGAACGGCAGGCGCGGGAGTTCCAGATAAATCGCAAAATTCTTGACGCAATGTTGATTTAAAGAGCCAAGGGGCTGCACGCTCAGGATGGTTAAGCCGCTCGTAAACTAGTGCGCGAACGCTTTGTTGGCAATGTCGAGCGGGATGGGTGCGATAAAGCTTTACAATGAAAAACGATGAGACTGAGCGACGGCGCTTAAACTTAAACGTGCGTTCGGTGCCAGTCCGCTGGCAGACGAAGGAAAAATCGCGCGGGCAGAATGCACTTGCATATTTTTATGACCTGGCGAGCAATTTTCCGCGCGCAGCCTAATGGACCGAGGCTACTTGAACGTTTTGTTCCGCGGCCGTTCGCGATGATTTACGACGACTATTAGCTCCCTCGGGGAGGAAGCCGAGCGAACCCGCGATCAACAAGGTGCAAGGTCAATACTGACTTATGAAAGTGCGCTCTATCACAATGCACGCGGGCGCATTGATCCTCGGTGGAACGTTGAGCTCGAGCTTCCCGGAGCAGAGAAATACGATATCGTTTATCCGCGCGAAATTTAAATAAACAGTTGTGATTAATTGCCGCCGCACGGGAAGGAAAATGTAGCTGCCATAGCTAGAAGCTGCATGTGGTAACAAAAATTTCAGTAATTGTAAAATATGGACGGCTAATATTCAGTTGCGACGGCCAAATATTTTGCTAGTGTGCCTATTGCATTAGGTGCGACAGCAAACGGTTTGCTATGCTTTAGAAATTTATAGTTATGGCAGCAAAATATTTTCAGAAAACCATGATTAGCTACGATAGCGACAATTTTTCTTTCAGCGTGGCAATATTAACATCAGAATTTAAAGATTTCCAAAGAAACTGTCTACGGAGGCTGCGGAAGTAGGCAAGTGATTGCGAGGACCGCATTAATCGCGCATCTGAGCTAATTTGTATTCTCATCTGCTCCTTCCTGCAGAATCACAATTTCGGAAGATCCTCTTGGACAACGACGACGAGGCGCCAGACGCGTGCATCTCGTGGGCGGAATTCGCGATCGCTCGTATAACTCACTGACGACCGATAAACGCATCTGGCTGTTGTTGAAGCTGCACGACGCGAAAGGCGGCCAAAAATAGACCGGGAATAAAAACCAGCCACCCCCCCCAACGCCGGGCAATTGCCTCGTGTAGATGTAAATTGTATAAACCCCTCGGGCTTTGTCCTCAGAGAGTCTGCATTAAAAATAGTCCATCCCTCGTTCTCCATTTCCAGAAATGTCTCATCGAGGCGATAGGGTGAAATGTGTGCTAAGCTAAAAATAAGTATAAAGGGCTCAATAAAATAAGGGGTGTGAAAACTGGACAACAAATTAAAATGAGCCACAATTTTGTTACTAATGTTTACAAATGCCTCGTGTAAGCGTCGAGAGGAAATATGCAACTCTGGGGGGAAAAAAGACAGTTAGCAACCTATTTCGGGGCTCACAATTAGTAATCGAATTATTCGGATTCGCAACTCTAATCTTTTACGAATTCTACCCCGCGTAACTAAAAATCGCAACTAGCTACCTATTCTGCCTATATCCAAGATTTTTGAGTAATACTAATCAACTCTCTCAATTAGTTCTGTCGATGTTCAGTAACGCAAAGATAATTTTCACTTAAGAGGCACTAAGCGAAATGTTGAGTTGCTTAACTACAAAAAAAACGGTCAACATCTTTCCCACACGGAAAAAACAATGTAGCTGCTGTAGCTAAAACTTAGCAAAATAGGGACAGCTAATATTTTTTTTTAGTTGTGATAACTCAATATTTTGCTACGACAGCAAACCGTTTGCTGTCGCACCTAATACAATATGCACAGTAGCAAAATATTGAGCTATCACAACTAAAATATTAGCTGTCCCTATTTTGCTAAGTTTTAGCTACAGCAGCTACATTGTTTTTTCCGTGCAGAGTTACGAACAATCCAAATAATTCGATTACTAGTTGTGGGTCCCAAAATGGGTTGCTGTCTTTTTTCCCCCCAGAGAATGATAATAATTTCATGATGCAATGGTAAATTTTTCACAATGAATTTAAAAATAAAAATCATCTTAGACACTGTCGTCCGTCTTGGCTCTTATATCCTTTGCTACTTCGTATCCGTGATAATAATTTCGCATTGTTGGAGCACCAAGAAGCCTGCACGATTAACCGCATAAGCCAAAGCCTGTTAGGGTTCGGGGGAGCGGATATTTCGGTGCAGCGCCACGAGAACGAAATATCCTCCGAAATATTACTCCGGGAAACGCGAAGCGCGTCGACATAACGCATCCCTTGTGCGCACCGCGCAAAGGAGAACGATCCTAAAAAGATCGCCGAGCGAAAGGCGACGGGCAAAAAGGGGAGGACGTGGCGCGAAGACGTAAGACACGCGCGCGTATCGCGGGAGTGCTCGAAATGGCGGTGCGTAGACTACGGCTTTTGGCAGCGAATCAGGTATTCCATCTACCTCTGTCACGCACCCCGTTTTCGGTCTCCCCTCGGTCACAGTGGTTCCCAGATTTTTCCAATGGACCGACGCGACGTGTCAAAAAAGATGCTGCCGTTGTCAAGGACATGTCGACCACGCGCGCTGAATGGAGAACTCGAGAGGTTCCAAGTTTACACCTTCACGCACTACCTCTTTCGCGTTCGATCAAACGCGTTTCAAAATCTGTTTGTATAAAATGTGACCGATAACAATAAAGATTGTATGCATTTTTAAATTTAACTCTTCAGTTTCCGTGCAGACATAACGTAAAGATATAATTTCACTAGCGATATCAGCGCGCTAACATTGAGATGTATTGTATTATACGTTGCCTTTTGGGCAGTTGTTCAAAGATCTCCGCGTATTTTATGAGATAGTCCGTCAAATGTAGCATCACTCGTTGTGATAAATGTTATTTGTTTCGGTTCCAAATAATTAACGTTCAACGCATATCACATAAAGCGATTTTCTGTCATCTAACTAAATGTCAATGTTTTTCTAAGTATATATCTTATTCTATATTTCTTTCAGTTGTACTTCACTTTATCCATGGCCTTTTCTTTCTTTTGCCCTTTGCAAATCTCCGAGTATGGCTGTTGCATTTAAAAAAATGCAAAAACTATAATAAAGTACAGCTGAGAGAAATGAAAGTCGTTCCTTTTGGTAAGCGATACTCACTCTACCCGTTAAACGTATCACTTGCTCGGTTACTTCTCGTTGAACTGTCGTCCCGCCGGCGTGGGTGGTACGGGATAATTCCAAGGAGAATTCTGCGCGAACGATATAACAAATGACACGTATAGAAAGGTATCGGTATTTAAATAGTTTTATAATAAATCGTAAAGTTTTAAATTGTTTGCAACTCGAAATTTCCGGCACGGTACCGTAGTCTTTACAATATTCAAGTACACGGAAAGAACAATGTAGTTGCTGTAGCTAAAACTTAGCAAAATAGGGACAGCTAATATTTTTAGTTGTGATAGCTCAATATTTTGCTACGACAGCAAATCGTTTGCTGTCGC